GGAGTTGCCCAATCACTGTATTTGACTTTATGTATTACATTATTGTCTTCTAACTTTTTAAGTTCATTTTCAACTTTGCATTTGTTAGCATATGGAACAAACCTGGCTTTAACATACACAGGAGTAACATTTTCTCTAATATTTATGTGAGCTAGCTCATGTCTCATGCCATCATATGAATCTTTGAACAAGTTTTCATACCTTTTAAGCAACACATTTAACTCGGAATTACTGTTTCCGACTGTTTTAGAACATTGAGATTCACTTACATCATTCTGATGTGCACAACTGTTAACATATCTGGAGTGTAGGTTTTTTACTATGTTTTTCCAGTCTAACTTAACCACTGCCATCCAATCAAGACCAAGCAATGTGGGCTTATACCTATAATCAGCAACACTAGCACTTAACTTGTGTGTTATACCCTCACGGTCGATGACATCACATTTGATTTTACCAATAATGTTTAACTTCTCACCACTATATGTTCTAAGAGATACCATATCATTATTTGTAATTTCAATATGATTAAAATGCTTATTATACGTATCAATGCTCATTACAGTATCATCTGCTTGAGTATCTACATACATTTCCAAATCAACACTGTTTACATTCAAGATTACTTTAAAGTGATCTCTAGACAATTTACCACTAGGATTATCAACACGATTCGTACACATAAACAAATCACCGTTCATCTCTCTCAGTTTGATGTACATTGTGATTTCTATCGCGTCCACCGCGACTACCGTATCCATGGTTACCGCCTCTACCACGACCATATGAATAATTACTACCGCCACGCACTCTGCCTCGCATGTTTTATCTGCCTCGTAACTAACTGCTCTCTTATCAGCAAAACATTCACTAGCATAATGTCCAACTCGCAAACATTTATAACAGGTTCTACCATTCGCAGGACACCGAGTTGGTGGATGATAAGGTTTACCACCGCATTTTTTACATTTACTTTCATGCATAGGTTGTTGCTTACCTCTCCCTCTTGTTGCCGTTATTTTATTCACGGTTGAAT